GTAAATCTAGGGTATATTCTCCGTGATAATAGGTTAATAAGTATACCGGTAACCGCCCGCTTAAGGTATATATACTATATATTCTAAATCTCCTAATTCTATTACTTTATACTAGGTTACGACTTAGTAAATTAGGGGCTAGAGGGACGGTAAGTAAAATAACTCTCTATATAAGTTTTATACTAAATAGAGGTAAACTAAAAGGTGAACTTAGGGTATATTCTCTATATAGAGGCGCTAATAAGTATACTAGTTCTTAGTTATATAACTTAAGGTATATATACTCTATATTCTACCTATTCGAATTCTACTACTTTAGGCTAGGTTATAATTCTATAAATTAGGGGCTATAGGGATAGCGAGCTAAATAACTCCCTATATTAATTTTATACCTAATAGAGGTAAATTAGGAGGTAAACCTAAGGTATATTCTCCGTAATAATAGGTTAATAAGTATACCTATAACTACTTACTCGAGATATATATACTTTATATTCTAGATCTTCTATTTCTACTACTTTATACTAGGTTACGACTCTATAAATTAAGGGCTATAGGGATAGCGAGTTAAATAACTCCCTATATAAATTCTATACTAAATAGAGGTAAACTAAGAGGTAAACCTAGTATATATTCTCCGCGGTAATAGGCTAATAAGCGTACTAGTTATAGTCTATATAACTTTAAATATATATACTTTATATTCTACCTATTCGAATTCTACTACTTTAGGCTAGGTTATAATTCTATAATATTTAAGTTTAGACGATAGCGAGCTTAAGAACTCCCTATATAAATTTTAAGCCTACTAAAGGTAAACTAAAAGGTAAATCTAGGGTATATTCTCCGCGATAATAGGTTAATAAATATACCTATAACCGCCTACTTAAGGTATATATACTATATATTCTAAATCTTCTAATTCTACTACTTTATATTAGATTATAATTCTATAAATTAAGTATTCGGATAAAGGCGAGTTAACTAGGTTACTATATAAATTTTAAACTTACTAGAGGTAAACCGGAAGGTAAATCTAGGGTATATTTTCCGTAATAATAGGCTAATAGATATACTAGTTTCTACTTATATAACTTAAGATATATATCCTAGGTATTCTACCTCTTCTAATTCTACTACTTTAAGCTAGATTATAATTCTATAAATTAGGTATTTAGACGATAGCGAGTTAACTAAGTCCCTATATAGGCTTTATACCTAATAGAGGAAAAATAGGAGGGGAACCTAAAGTATATTCTCCGTACTAAGGCGCTATTAAGTATACCGGTTCCTACTTATATAACTTAAGATATATATACTTAGTATTCTATCTATTAGAATTCTACTACTTTAGGCTAGGTTACGATTCTATAGATTTAGAATTTAAATAATAGCTAGTTAAGGAACTCCCTACCTAAAATTTAAGCTTAATAAAAGTAAACTAAGAGCTAAACCTAGAGTATATTCTTTATAACGATAAGTTAATAAATATATCTATAACCGCCTAAAGGACTAAAGATATATATACTATAAATTACGTATTAGATATTCTACTACTTTATACTAAGTTATAATTCTATAAATTTAGAAGATAGAAAATAGCGAGTTAAATAACTCCTTATATAAATTATAAGCCTAATAAAGGCGAATTAAGATATAAATCTAAGGTATATTCCCTATAATAAGAGCCGAAGAAGCGTACCTACTCTTACCCGGTTAAGCTATTCTTAATAGCTAGTAAGTTCTATAATAAAGATAAGTCCGTCCTATTTTACTTTATATTCTCTTTATCGTTATAACTACTATTATTTTATAAATCGGAGATAGAAATAGATTAGAGCTAATAGTAGGATATCCTTAATATAAAAATACTTAATCGTTTATTAATATAGGGCTTTAGACTAAATCTAAATTATATATCTTAAATATAAATACTTAATTTAAGGGTTAAGATTTAAGGTTATATAATAGTATATTATAGTTAGAGGGCTTTTATATAAATATATATTAGGCGTTAGGGTAAGCTAGATATAATATAGATAATTATACTACTAAGATATAGTCTATAATAGACTTATTATATCTAGATCTAATAATTTAGAGGTAGTAATACCGACTATTATAATAAAAAAGGACTTATAAAATCTTTATAAAGATAATATACTAAATTTAGACGTTAAGAATAAGCCGGGTTATAGATATTAAATTAGATATAAAATAGATAAAATTTTATATATATCTATAGTTAATATTTTCCTTAATTAAAGTTCGATTATATAAATAATATATTAAGGCTTTAGAATAATATATAGAATTATACTTAGAACCTATAGTATATATAAGGATAGATTATATAAATTAATTTTATATTATAATTTAGGCGGATATAGCTAGGTATATTATCTTCGTAGTACTATATTCTATATAAGTAGATTAACTAGGTACTATACCTATAGTTATAGTTACTATCTAGGGATTAAGAATATTAAACTTAATCGAATCTTTACTTACCCTTTATATAAGATCCTTAAAGGTTACTAGCTTAAAATTATATTATATTTAATAGGACTTATTATTATTTAATATTCTAAATTTTAAGATATAACTAGCCTAATTTATAGTATAAACCTAGGGTAGAAACGTAGAGTAATTTCTAATATACTAAGTTAATTAACTAAGACTCTATTCTACGTAAATAGATTAACCGGGTACTATACTTATAGTTATAGTTATAGTCTAGGGATTAAGAATATTAAACTTAATTAAATATTTACTTATCTTTTACGTAAGATTCTTAAAGGTTACTAGCTTAAAAGTATATTAATTTTAATAGGATTTATTAAAATTTAATATTCTAAATTTTAAGATATAATTAGCCCGGTTTATAGCGTAAATCTTATATAGAATATATTAAAATTAGAAGTATATAAAATAAATTAAGTAAGACTCTATTCTATATAAATAAATAAATTAGCGACTATATCTATAGTTATAATTACTATCTAGTAATTAAGAATATTAAACTTAATCGAATCTTTACTTACTCTTTATATAAGATCCTTAATAGTTACTAGCTTAAAATTATATTAGATTTAATAGGACTTATTAATATTTAATATTCTAAATTTTAGGCTCTAATAGACCCGATTTATACTATAAACCTAAGATACGAAGTTTAATAGGTTCTAGTTATAGTCTATTATAGATCTAATCTTATTTTATATATTAGAGGAACTCCCTAACTTAGTTTATATATTTTATACTTTCTAAGAGGGTTCTAAGTCTATAAATTAAACTAAAGTAGGATACGTATTTAACTAAGTAATACTAAGAATTTAATATACTTTAAAACCCTATAGCGCTAGGGATTATATATTAAAGTTAGAGAGTTCTAATTAGAAGCCGCTAGTCGGCGATCTAATTAGCCTTACCTAAAATACGATTTTTAACTTTAGTTCGAGCTACTACCCTTTTAATAAAGGTTCTAAGTCTAGGATTTAGACGACGTATATTTAACTACTTAGAGAAAGCTCTATAGAAGTTTTAGCGCGAACGGAGTTAGATTACGAGGTGAACCCTAGGTTACTATTTAGCTAGTTTTAGGCTAATAAGTGTACCCGCTCCGCCCTACTTAAGCTTCCGAATAGCTGCTATTTAACTTTCGGAATTTCCTCTATATCCTACTAGGTTATGATTCTAAAAATTGGTGTTCAGATAGAGATCTATATTATATATAACCTTATAAGTTTCTAAATAGGTTTAATGAAAATTGACGGGGCAACCTAGGGTATAGGTTTTGCCTAACCTAGGGGTGCCCCACTTGGGCTTCCGCGAATGAAACGCTTTAAATACCGGTATGTTTCGTACTGTTAGCCCAACCTAGCCTGGGTTGGGCTACCCCTATGGGATAGGGGGAAGATGCCTTAACTACACCTTAACTACAAATCAACCATCAAAAGGCGACGATGCGATTGCATGAAATCTTGGCTTCGACACTACAGCCGCACCTTGGAGGTGCTAGAGAAATAGCATTCACTCGACATTATCAATTTGCTAAATCGCCAATGGTCCTCAAACACATATAGAATCACTTGCTTTATTGAGAGCGGGTCAGAGCTTAAAGAAAAGCCGCGATTTCAATTTCTGGGAATAACCGCCCATTACGTGTCGTCTACCCCCTAGTCCTTGTCAACTAAAACAATCTCTAGGGTTTGTCCTCGATGGTACAATCTCAGAAGAGCAGCTACAAGTACTAGCTGATTGCTACAGCCTGGGTAAGGATGCAGAATGACGTTTCGCTAGCAATAACGTACCTTTCATGGTTCGGGCTCCATAAGCCAATGGCAGTATTGTATTTCCCCACCGTCGGAGCGAGCCTAGGTCCCGGGCAACACGGTGGTAAGCATGGGCCCGTCAGGTGGGGTCGCGCCATTCCTTTTTGGGTTCCAATGTTTGGCACCAAACATTGGAGCCTAAAACGGAATATCACAAAATGTTTTATCTTCCTCAACGTTTTTTTCTGGGAAGCGGACGGTGTATGCACCTTTCTGACCTACCATTCACTTTCAGTTGAGAGTTCATGACTTGGTTTTGAATAGTGCATGAAAGTCCTAGTCTAAATCATGTATCCTCAGCCAACTAGCTTAACGTCTGACTAGATGAGGTTGCATAGGAAGAACATGCTTGCATTGAAAATAAAAAATATGCCAAGTCAAGCCAAATTGCAGATTTAGTTCAAATAATTAGATTCCTCCTTCGACAATATGCGTTAACTGATCGCTTGTAGTTTATGACTAAGCTAGCACACCGCCTTCCTGTTGAAAACTGCCCGTCATAGCCGTTCAGTTTGATGATTCCTGACCTGGCCTGGATAACAATCCTCGACTTCCTCCCAATCGATGTCTATACGGAATCTACGTGTCAATGCTCGCTTTCGCTCATATGAATCGCTGATTTGTAGCACATTTCCCTTCAAGACTATGCCAAGGAAGTTTACAAATATGTCCCGACTACCTAAGGGTCAGTTCTTCACACCGTCCCATTGATACAGAGCTAATTTGAAACAAGACTCATTGCCCGACGATAATCTTTTCTCATATTCCTCTGGGAGGTTCCTTTACAACGAAGAATTGCGCCTTCGCGAGCGATATGTACAATTTGATGTCGCTGCACTCGAATTTGCCATCGCGAAACATGTCGGCCGTGGAAACGTCCAAAGTATTGTCAAATTAAGTGAGGGTGGCTTCAATCGAGTGCTTTTAGCCACTATGGAAGATGGCTTCAAGGCAATCGTCAAAATTCCATACCGGATATCCGTCCCAAAGACATATGCGACCGCCAGTGAAGTCGCAACTCTTACGTTCCTTCGCTCAAAAGGGATCCCGGTGCCTGAAGTCTATGGTTGGTCTTCTACAACTGAAAATGCAGTTGGTGTGGAGTACATAATCATGGAACATGCATCAGGGGTGTGTGCGGATACTCACTGGTTCGACACGACAAAATACCAGAAAAAAGCATTGGTAACACAGATTGTCGATATTGAGAAACAGATTTTCAAAATACCTTTCGCTTCTTTTGGAAGTCTCTATTTCAAGAGCGATCTTCCTCGTGAATCCCAAGGTCGACTATATCAGCCTGGCACACCGGATGAGGACCGAGATTCCGAAACCTACTGCGTTGGCCCCATTGCTGACTACATGTTTTGGTATGGACAACGTGCCAAGCTTGAGCTGGATAGGGGTCCATGTATGCTTTCCGCTGAGGCGAAATTGCAGATGATTTTTTAAGCTGACTCTTCGCGTAGGGAGCGACCCAAGGCAATATCTTCTTGCAATTGCCAGCAAAGAAATCAAGTGGACCGAGTGTTTTGGGAAGCCACTTGAGTGTGACTTTCCACATAACACTGTTTTTCCTGGTGTCACTTCCCACAAAGATTATTTGGAACTCCTCAAGAAGTATCTTGCAATTGCTCCTTATCTCCTTCCAAAGGATCATAGGGATATCTTGAATCAACCTACCCTTCGGCATCCTGGTGTGTTTCTCAACCCATCTTATACCCTCTGGACTAAAAGAGGCTAATTTGAAAGATCTCACTCCAAGTAATGTCTTTGTGTGCCCAGATACATTCAATATCACATCAATCATTGATTGGCAACATACAGTTGTCACCCCACTACTCCTTGCTGCTGGGTACCCGAAACTATTTGAGAATCCTGACCCCGAGCCTGCAACCGGCTTAGTCCCACCAAAATATCCAGAAGGCTATGATACAATGAGCCCCCAGGACAAAAGCCAAGTCGACGAGCTCATTCGGCGGCAGAGCCTTTTTTATCTATATCGTGTCTTCAACGGGGGAATGAACAAAGTGCATCTCAAAGCTCTACAAGATCCTTTGATTCTGTCACGTCAGCATCTGGTAGATTTTGCGGGCCGTCAATGGTCAGGCAATATGGTGACATTGCGGGGAGGTTTGATGCGCATGCGTGAAATTTGGCGTCATGTTCCGGGAAAGGACGAAAATACTGAGTGTCCTATTCAATTTTCGGAGCAGGAAGTCAGAGAGCACAATGAGACTGAGCCAATGTGGTATAACTTGAACATTCTCGTCAATCACTGGCGCGATGAACTAGGGGGACTCTCAGAAGAAGGGTGGGTCCAGACTGAGCGGTACGAGTATGCGGTAAAACGAAATGAGTCCCTCAGAGCCGAGTTCTCTGAAGGTGGTAATGCTGACGAGCTTGAGAAATTCAAGCGGGGTTGGCCTTTTCGAGATCATGAGGAGTTCTTTTAATAGACGTATTGTTGTCATTTGCTATTTTGTTCAGGCCGCTTTGTCGGTGCTTGACGTTTGTTCACTACAAATGCTATATGATACGAAAATCCTCTTTTAGTGGATAGGTAAAGCCGAATTCTTTTATTAGCATGTTCTTGTAGCACCTAGCGCTAAGCCACTGGCCCTGGCAAGCTCGGGATACACTTGGGTTTCCACATTTATTTTGGGTTGGAAAGCCACAATCTATCAGACACGTCTCCACTACCTGTAACATCACTACACTAACCGCGCACTGGGAGCATTGAAATTCACTAGCCGCCATGATAACTGGTCGCGTGCATCCATAGAATTCCCTGGGTCAGTGCATAAAAGATTGTATGACTCGTGCACATATGGCATCTCAACATAAAAGCAAGAAGAAACCTTTGAATACTTTGAGATATGAAAAAACTCATTCTCCTACCCCTTTCACACAGCATCCAAAATGCCATCCACCATCAAGACTATTTTCGCCGCTGTCAAGTTCATTACCGGACGCCCTGCCGATCTCAAAAATTTTTTCTTGCCGACCGCAACCAGAGGGAAAACTGTCTGGCCCAAGACACCTGCAGACCTGCTTCGGTATGGCGTTCGATGGGACTACGATGGCATTGTTAAGAAGGAAGATGGTAAAGAGTACCACAAATACCAGCTACAGCCAAACGCTGGCAAGATTCCATCCTCGGTCAAGCAATGACGTGATAACAATGGTGGTACTCACGCAGTAATGACAACCCTATATATTCCCAAGGGAGTTGAACCTGAAGCAGCCATCTTTGAGGATGCAATGGCAGAAGCCATTGATAATATCCCCTGAGACCGGTATGTACAATCAATCTTGCTTTCTCATTGCTTTGTGAGAATCAATGATTTTTCTGACAATATTCGCCTAGCTAGAGTATCAAGCACCTCAAGTCAATGGTCGCTAGTAATTCAGGAAGCTTTTGAGGATTGTTGTTTTGGGATGGGGTTGAGGCAGAAATGACGATGATATTTGTGTTGATATAAGATATTGTCTGGTGCGAATATTATGTTCGTGTATTTGACTTGGCATTTCGAGAGAACAAGCGCTTCATTGGACAGAGAATTTTCGTGGAAGATGACTGTTGCGTTGACAACGAGAAGAAATATTGTCATCGGCATTACGTTTTTGTATGCGGAGATATTTGAAATCAGTAATAACATATCCGGGGTGCCGGTCTGGAGATCGCTCCAAGATTTTCGGGCTCTCTGGCACAAATAAGTTAGTTCGGCTACGAGAACCGTCAAGCTGTTCCAAACACTTTCGTTCGAGATGGCGATGAAAAATAAGTGCATAATTCCCTCCTGAAATTGCTCTATATCGCTTCCCATCTCTGGCAAGATGAGCTATCCTTCGATGTCGATCTCCCGGGCTATACGCCTTCATTCTCAAAATCTCAACCCCGCGTGGACTATTTGCCATGATACTAGCACACAAGATTTTATCCGTCTACACAATAGAATTAGTCTGTGGCTAGCCCCTTAGTGCCGATTGTGTTCGTCACAAAGCTAGGCGTAAGGAATTTTGCGTACGCGTGTAACGAAGAACTTTTAAGAAAATGTCAACAATTTTTTCCTGACCGGGGCATTATGTTTTCTATCGCTCGGATTTATACCGGCATGATAAAGACCTCTTTCCACCCCACTCTCAACGGACCTGCAGGAATGGCTACCTTGAAATTTCTAGATTTGAATATACGCTACTCTGTTCACGACCCGGATGCATTCTCAGCAAAAATAGCAAGACGACTTCACACCCTGGTCCATGTTCGGGTAGATAGAGGACGGATAGAACGTACACAAAGATATGATCTGCCTTCGAGACCAGGCGCACTATCGACTCTGGGGGAGGAGTGCCATTTCTGATGGATTGAGGTCGCATGGGACCATTTTACCACCCCTGGATTTAGAGCCGAAGATATCGAAGACTTGCTGGCATGTTTCGAATGATAAATTCATGTTTCTACCTTTCTGCGAGACTCCTTTCTGCGAGACTCAATCCATCTGAGCTAATTAGTTCTTATCGCTTTCACTTCCTTCTCTCTATTATTGCGGGTGATACTAGCTTCAATCTATAGCACACGCTTAAAGGCTTAGAGTTGAAGATTCCCCAGGGCATCCTTTATTAGAGGATCGTTGAGGTCATACTCGCCATGGATACATCTCTCGCGATCGCTTCCAATGTTATTCCCCTAAGCAACACATCCGCACTAAACAAATACTACGGATCTGGATTTCGATCGCTCCATCCTACTACGCAACAAGAGCTTTTGGGGATATTCAAAAAACCGCCTTCTGTCAGACCCACATCAGGTAGGAAAGCCCCCGTATGTACACTTTATGCTTAGGTTGATATTGATAAACCAGACATAATTCCCGATCTAATTTGCTTCTTTCGCGGAGTCAAGTCTATATATTTTGGCCGCCTAACAAAGTATATTCCAAGTCTGCGAAATTCGGTACAAGAACAATGGGTTATAGAAGAGATGCTTCATATTAGGGAAGAGGAGGAACAGTACGAAATGGGGCAACTTGGTATGTATAATCTCTTCTCCCCTACATATATAAAATACATAGTAACAGATATCTCAGATGTGAATAGCTCTGTCCAACTTGGTGGGTTGATATCCCGAAGCTGAATCGTCCTCAACGTTTTATTTTCCTAAAGTGGGACCTAAAATGAAGTCACGGATGGACCAGGTCAAATATTGTTGATATGCACCATACGTTTCAGAGTCAAACAAATGAAAGAGTCCCATAGATCCAAACCCGTATGTCCGTGGATGTGCAGTAGGAACTACGCTGTATATTGTTATTGATTGAATAAATAGAAAATACATTATGTTGCAAACCTAGAGATACCTCCCGACTTAGACTGAGACCGAAGGTCAAATTTGAAAGAACACATGCTTCAACCAGGAAGAAATGATTTCCATATTTCGTGGGATTTAGATAAATGACCAACGTACTCGATATGACCAAGACCGATATACATTTGATAACAAAGAAGAAAATGGAAACACATTCAAATCCACTCATGCATCTCGCAATGAAAATTCTGAATAGAGAAACAGAAAACCTGGCGCCCGCTGTACCTTGCGATGGAATACCATATCCACTATCTACATCATCCGGTCGATCTTCCGCAAGCGACGACACAACACTCCTCTCGGGACGTTCCTCTATGCAGAGACATTACCAAATTCCCGAGAGAGCGTTTATTTATCAAAGGAACACGAAGGATATAAGCCCTTTGCACCCATGCTTTTAGAGACGAACTCTTTCAACTGCACATCACCTTTAGAGCCACTTCCATCTTGAGCTCTATTTTCGAATGTAGGTCCTCTTCTCCCTTAAATTTGGCATCAAAGCTTCAATTCTTTCAAATACCTGACCATCCTGAAAATCTACACATATTAAAATCCCATGGAGCCCTCGTGGTACATTGGCGTTCTTCCAACTTCTTACTCAATACCACTCAGCCAGAATTGTCTTCATTACCCAGCCAATCACTTTTCACGAGATTATGCTAATTTGAAAGCCATATTGAAGAAGGCAAGCGTCCTGCAAATTGCACAATAACTTAGTCGTGATATCAAAGAGCAAACCGTGAGTCTGGGTCAGATTAATTAACCCACATAATCTGAAATTATTTATTGATCAAAATCTTTTAGATTCGGCCTAATGTGTTGGGTTATATTTTATGTCTACCTATCCTGCGGGGATTGGAAAGAGAAGGCAGGGGAGCTTCCCTGTTTCGAGAACCCCTGCAAGGGAAAGAAGCCGCGAGATCAGGAGGTTCGCCAACCCTGTGGTAGATGTGATCTCTGCAACTATCGATGACTAGGGCGTTCATTTAAAAAAGATATTCGATGTATCGTGTGAATGAGCTTTGGCTTTTAAACCGAGGGCATATTCGCACTACCGTTGACAAGCATGGTGAATGATAGAGCCTCACGGAGAGATTGAGAAATCATATAAAGGGCTGTGACATCGATAAAAATGGGACTCAAAATCTAGGAAATAGTGATATATGACTTATCCAATAGAAAATTTGGAACGAACCGCAGGCCCAGACTGGTGATGATGAAAGCATAAAGCCTGACATGCAAGGTGCAAATGCCAAAAATGGCATGATCGACAAGAAAGTTTGGAAAACCGGTCAATAGATATAGGGGATTGAAGCCTGTAAGCCGCGTTCAGATCAAAAACAAAAGGTACGATATATCCTTTGTGTTCTTCTGTAAGCTGGAGTCCGGTCGATCTTCTGTTTTTCACCCGCGGAAATACATCATTGAACAGGTTCAATCGCTAAGGCTTTTAGGAAGTAGTATTGAGCTATTAAATATTTAGTCTGTCCTTCTTTAGGTGCAAACATCGTTACTCACAATATAAAGAGACCATCCTTTCCCGGGCAATAGGCGCCAACCGTCTGGATTCTGATATACTCCTATGTGTCCATTCATAAATAAGTCCCCAGCAGCTTCTCCCGTGTTTGTCCTATATCTCACAGCTAAGGATCTCTACCAACATACTCGCAATTCTTGCCAAAAAGCCTAACATTATAACTCGTGCTATGAAGAGATCTTCATCAGGTCTCTAGGAGCCCTAGGGATTGAACGTTACTCCTCAGCTTAAGATGTCTGTCTCTCATCCGTCATTCACTCCACTCTATAGATACTATGCAATGATATTTATCGATAATAAGGGCCATCTCTAAGTCGAAGAGTCTCAATCTATTCGAGATCGTGGGTCTAGTATATTCACTCCGGAGGTCCGCTAGAATTTCCTCGAGATTCTAGGCGGTCTAATATACTATCGTCGGTCCACTCGTATATTAAGTCGTATCTGAATATATAAGCGACCGCTTATTGTTTTTTAGAGCTAACATACCGTCTATTGAAATGCCTTAAGAGCAATCATCCCCTCGGGTCCCCTTCTCGTTAGCATTTGACTAATTAGGATTCCGGCAGCGAGGACTTTAACGATTCCGCTAGCATAGTCTATCTTCTAATTAGAGATAATATAAAGATAATAACTTACTATAAACGCGCTTATAGCGACTTCTAATAGGTGAACTACCGTATAATTACTAAGGAGTTTATCCGTACTATTAAGCTAACGAAGTAAGTTAGATATCTATATATTAGGAAGGCACCGGAAGGATCCCTACCTAGTACTAAAAAAAATCTAGAAGCGAGTAGGCCTAAGTAGTAGCTACCGGGTATTATATATAAGGAGCCTAATTACCTAAGGAAAGAATATATATTTATCTATAGGTTAACTTTTCCCCCTATACGCTAATATTATATTTATATAGACCGCCTTATACTACTAATTTATATTACCTATAAGCTCGGTAGCTATAGTATTACGTCCGATAAGTTAAAGTAAGTCGCTAGAGACACCGAGCGGAAGTTACCGGACCTAAAGCGCGCCGAGGTAATCTATAAGATCCTTCGGGTTCGAAAGATATAAGAATAATTTAAGAGAGGTGAAGTCGGTAAATATAGTATCCTTACGGTGAGCGCTTTACATTTAACTAAAACTTCTTAGATAAAAATGTGATCGTTAACACCGTGAATCTTAACCCTTTTAAGGATAACGAAGATAGGTCTATTAACGTAGTACCCCCCTTTATTGAAGAACCTAAGCGCCCCGCGTAAGAATTAATAGTATCGAAGCCTATTAAGTAAGATTTTTCTCCACTGAACCCATATATCGATAATCTGTCTTTAGCGTCGATACACGATCTACTAGGCAGTCTCAGCGGCTATACCTTGTGGCCTTAATACACTAATCTATCATCGCAACCCATACTTAGCACGAACGTAGAAATCATTAGTATATAGTGCAGTGTTAGAAATACTTTCGCAGCGTCCACCAAGCCTGATCGGCACACTAGGTCTCTATATTCCCATACCCCTAGGATTAAGACGAACATTCACCAAGATATCACCAGCCCAGCGACCATCTAAGGGCTTCCTTCTCCCTAAATAAATTGCCAGGACTTTATAGTCTCAGTGAACTTGCACGACATGGCTCACTATCACTACCAGACCTAAATGACCTCCATAGATCAATAACACCAACCCTTTTATAGAGAACGAATGGATTATTTAGATGGGCTGCCACCTAAATCCTAATAATGAAGTAGGATCATCGGATACAAAAAGAAATGGAGCGTACAGGTATCAACTTTTAACGAGTATACACGACTAGAGGGTCTACAAGCCTGAGGTTTGTCTATATCCCTCGCCAGGGATCTGACTATTTTTTTTATTTATTCTTTTTATACACATACCTATATATATATTCATATTGTTCTAATAAGGAGTTTAAAGCTATGCCCTATCTTTAATAAAACCTTCTAACAAAGCTTCAATATAATTGCTCTGTATGAATTAGCCTCGTGGGCGACTGCCAGCCATTTTTGTCTAATCGCTAGAAAACATACTTTTTCTTCTTCTTTTTCGTTTTTAGACTCTAGGCGACTAATTAAGAATCGAGGTCCCTTATATCGATTATATAAATTTGCTAAATATATAAAGACTATAATCTCGCTATCTCGATTTTCTATCCCCTTTCTAGTTTGAATAGCAACTATTCTTAATTAAGCTAGACTATTTAACCTCGGTATAGGAACGCAAAGATGATAATAGCGTAGATTAAATCGCCTCGTTACAATAAGTAACATCTATTAGAAATAGAGATCACTAGCTTCGTCGTGTTCTTAGCTTCCTCTGATAGAGCCGGTATAAATTCCGAGGTTTAGCGGTCTCTACACTTAAGACTAAAAAGAAAAAGGGGTCCTTTTATCTATAGGAGGGGGGATATAGATATATATAGGCGGTTTTTGCGATACGGGGCTAAGGAAAATAACGTAGTAAGTTACTTAAATAGTATATTAAACTAAAACTAATAAATTATAGTTCTCTAGAAAATTTAAGGAGGCTATAGGTAAAGTTGATTTTCTCCTTCGTTAGGGTCCTATTATTATTCTCTCCCTCGAAAATCACTTAACCTAGGGCACTAGGCTTACGTACCTATCTCGTTATACGGTATCTATATTTCGAGATCTTTCGAATATTAACGAAACTAGAGTGATTTTTAAACTCTACCCCCTAGATTTACTAAAAGAGGTAATACGGGAGACCCGTCCTATTATATAGGAGCTACGGCTAAACGAAATTCTTTTTATAAAAGGATTAGTTAGAATAGAGATAGAAGTTCTTATTAGGGGCTCTTTTATCTAGTAAGGGAATAGTAGGGAACTAATAGGCCTCGATATACTTAGGCTAGAGGTATTTAATTTTATAGCTATTTAAGTAGTTCGTGTCTTAGTATATCGGAAGAATTAGATACGGAAGCTAGATAAAGAATTTAGTTAGCTAGAAGAAAAAAAAGATACAGATTACTACTAATATTTAATACTTAACTTTAGAAGCTAGTAGTCGCTCTACGTAATAAAGAATTTCGGTATAGCTAGCTTTTAGAAGCTATATAGCTCTAGCTTTTTCGCTAAAGGATAATCGATAGAAAGTAGGTAATACCGAAGCTAATAAAAGTATAATTCCCTTACTAAACTTAATCTTAAACCTCCGAAGCTTCCGCCCTTATTAAAGATCACTATAAGTATTATAATCGTTTAAATACCCTAGATAACGAAGGAAAGTTAGTATTAACTAAACACTACGTATATAACTACCCGGAAGTATACGGTCTAACCCTTACGTTCGTAGCTATTGTTCCTCTTATAAGGCTAGAGAAGACTATCGAATAATAGTTTATAGGCGTAGGATCTATAAGCGTGAACTCGCACTATATAAAATAAAATCGACTACACTTAGGTAGTCACTTATTACGCCTATTTACGTAATAGCTGAAGTTAGATCAACTTCTAGAAACCTTAGAAAATATTCTATCTAAGCGGATAGGTCGTAAAGGAAACCCTCCGTAGTGGCCGGTAAATTACGGCGAGCCGGCATTATCGATACGTGAACGAGGAGATACGTTTATATGGCTAGAGTACTTTTAAGCAGCTGACTCAGAAATTAGGTGACAAAATGGGTATAGCATAGAATGAATCCCCACAGAGCTAGTTATGTAGAATCCAGGCCCGCTCAGGCCCTATAACAGTAGATGTATACCCCTAGAATAGGTATCTTTGTGATTATAGTTCTAATATATAGCTTTTATGTTTCCAGCCAGGGAGCTTTAGATCTATAATCCATCTACCGACCATAGCACACATATCTATAAACAGTTCTAGGCTAAGCAGCAATATCTTCACACTACTAGCGACGTGTTTGGGATTCCTAAAGGTATGCCGAAAAACACCTTGACTCGCGCAAACTGACAATCCAGAGCGAGACTGCATTCTACTCAATAGAACTGCCGGATTCCCTCCATAGGAGTGAAACACAGCCCCAACCGCGCATGATCTACCCTGGTATATCTGACCGCTCTTCTTGCAAAGAGTCAAAAATACAAATGCAATCAAGCAGGCCGTTAGACATGAATGTTCGTGGCGATGAAATGCTTCCCTACCGCAAAAAGTTAGAACGCATTTTGCCATATAACCTAATAAGCGGCAAGCCAGAAGGATAGGTTATTAAAGTGCTGTCTGTCGACTATGAGAAATGTGCGTTGAGTACAGCGAACCTACAAATTTTGGCTGAATATAAAGGAAAGGTGACAATGGGATGGTTCAGCTATGAGGAGATCCGAGCACATGATGGTACAAGGAAAGCGGTAGAAAGCTTCAATCCAACTTGGTGGTAGGCACATCATATTGTTTGTATTCTAGACACATCAACTCAAATTTGCAAAGAAGCTATTCTACACGTCTAGTTAGTAGAAGCATGAAAAATAAAATTGTATAGAATCGGTCTCTCCGCCATAAGGTATTATGGGTAGTGAAAGAAAAAAAAAACTACACATGACAAAGTAGAGAATGTAGTAGGGTGTGCATTCTGAGCTATACTACTTTAGAATGGTGATTCTCAGCTCGATGTTACACTTGATCGCGCAACCCCCGCATTGACCTTGAAATTATGTTCTGCTAAACTCAAAGTCAATGTGAATGTGCAGGAATTGTAGGGTATGGATTCTAAGCTATACTACTCCGGGATATAGAATAGATCCTGGCTATACCGAGATTAGTCAAAAACAAGCGCCCACCTCCTTCCTCTTTTTGAAAAGTATTTCAATAGAAACAACATATTAAAGGTGTTTTTGACACCTATAGGAGTATTTCCACGCGTAACTACGAGTGGACTTCCCACTCGCAATTAATTTTCGTTCTTTACGACCTCGACCTCTCTCACGATTGTCTTAGTTCCGTTCTGAAATCTTCCCAGGCTAGAGAATGCCTATCCATCTAGCCCTACCCCACCTAATTAATCTGTTATAGTGGCGAGGAATGTGCTTACCTTACATCGCACGTAAAGGTCTGGCCGGTTAATCAACGGCTCAGCTGCAAAGTTGAAATTATATACGTGTGGGCATACCACAAAAGTACGGAGATATCATTTAGGCTTTCGGTGAATATGGACAACATTGAATATATATGAGAAAGCCTAGCTCCAAAAATTTATTTCCTATCTTGCTTTTGCTCAACACTCCACTCCCTCTCAGACCATCGGGACGCCCTACTGTAGAAACAAATCTTTGAGGACTCTGTCGATGCGACCTACTTCAGAATTGAACCATCCGATAATTCGCGGATCATTTAATACGAAGACCGTACTCGCGGCCAAGTTATACTAGCCTCTCATATACGTCAAACCCCTAGATGCGGTTTCCACATACGAACGACCGAATTCGGCCGTAAAAAGAGGATCGGAGCTCAGCAAACGCAGATATATTAGGTCAGTAACGTGCTCTCGAATTCTTTCGGCAGTAGATTTCTATTACACTACTAAGTCAAACTGGTTTTTTCCCAGTGGAATAGCCAGGAGAATCGCATTGGACAGAGCAGGCTCTATTGATTGAATCTCTGAGTGGAAATAAGCGACAGAATAGCAGAAGTCGGAGCACTAGTAACAAATTTCGCAGTATATATCGGCTTAAATACGCATAGTCTATACATCTGAAGTTAAAGACATACTAGCAAAATGAAGGATAACGGATACTCACTGTAATTGGCTCCATTTAGGAAGCCTAATTCAGCAGTTCTATGCTAGCGAATGTCATAGACCCTATTTTTTGCGGGGGAATCAATGTATTCTTATAGACTAACTTCGTCTTAGCAATACGTTATTATTGCCATTTTTGTAAGGGCATGTTCTAGAACATAGCCATCAGATTATACTTCCGCCCTTCGATTCTCTTTTTTTCCCCTTCATTTATCTTACTATATTCTAGATTAGTATCAAAGTGCAATAGATATGTATCTCTATAAAATCACTTCCACTAGGCCTATCGATACTTGCGTTTTGTATCAAGTTGCCTGGAAAGAAATTATAGAGATATATAAAGCCTATAACTTACATATCTCTCGCGGTTTGAAATAGGTAAACCTCAAAGAGTAAAGAGAATCGTCTATAGCGGCTTACTATTCAAGCCTAAAAACAAAAGTAGTCAGACGAAGCGATGCCCACCGAGTAAAACCTTTCTAGCCCCACAGCCAAAGCCCACCAGAAAATCGACATTGATAGCAATTTATCAACAAGGCGTTACGCTCAAGGGGAGATATTACTAATGCCTATAATTTCCAAGTGGACATATCCCACATTAGAGGTAGTAAGTGGATGTTTTAAATATGAGGACATTCAAAAGTATGATGATATAAAGAAAGCAGTGGAAAGATCTAGGCCACATTGGAAATAGGAAAGGCAGCTTCGTATTACAAACTCAAATTATACATTATCTAAGGTCAAGAGCGGACATAATAGCTACCAGATATCACAGTGTTTTGATAACTTATATAATAATAAAGTGGAAATTGTAGGGTGTACATTCTGAGCTATACCACTTTGAGCTATACACTAAGATTTGTCCTAAACAAGTGCTTAACTAATCCTCTTTCGAGGACAGTTGGTTTTAATGGTAGCTGGTGTGCTCTCATCCCGCTAAGCTTTTCTCGACGCTTGCACGTAAGTACTGTATACTTGGATTATAGCAGGACTTCTTCCTGGATATCGATCTAAAAACAAGCTTGTCATCTCCGACTATAGCTGTTGCTTATCTCTCCTTAGTGCAACGAAATACTTGACAAGGCTTTCTATCTCTGCCGGCATATAGTTAAATCCCCTAGGATCATCCTGCCAAATAATGGGTGCGGCAGTTGTAGTATCATCAAGGCAACAGGTCACTTTGGTCAGATAACCAAAAGGGACCCATTCCCTAGTTGTATTGCTAATGGTATGTATGTGAGATTCAATAGAAAGTGCAGAAGGCTTCAACTTGGAGACGCCGTATCAGTAAGTGAATAATACGTGTGATCCCGATACAGGACTTACATGTGTTTGAAATAGGGGCTTGAACGCTCCAGCCAGCTGCCTATCATACTTTGAGCAATGGAAATCAAGGCGATTGGCTCTCCCGTAGGTAATGATATTATAGAAAGTGGTTATTATAGGATAGCTTATTAGGGCGGCAAATCTAAAAAGGGCAAAACTCACTCGAACAGGCAATTCACAGGTCCGTCGTTTAATCGGCCAAAACTAACGCCAGAAGTAGCCCTTCCCCCAGTAGAGGGTCGATCGACCATAAAATCTCCTAGAAGATAATAAGCCGCCAGGTCGACCCTGAAGATGCCTCATTAAGAACGTTTTGCTGTACGCTCTTAGTTCCTTTCCACCTCCTATACCCTTCTAGTGAGGAAAAATGACAACACGGACAAGAATAGAGTCAATATTCAAGCAAAGAGACATACGACGTACAATAACTCCCAGTTTACATCATAAAATCAATTAATGCTATTACTTATATACATTTTTCGCTAGGGACGGCTGTCATTTCCTGATCTTTGTGCTCCAGTACACCTATATAGAGCCTTGACTCCTTCCTCTGAATTTCTGACCAAACTGCTCAGTCACCTCCGGCCATACAAGGTTTTCTTCCCCTTTGAGTTTTACGAGTAAGCGAACCTCTTCCTCGCACTATAGTAGCCCTTTTCTCGAAGAAGTAGGTCCCGCGTCGATCAGTTAAGCATCTATGCTTGTAT